ACAAACAGACATGCACACTGACACACACACACATACATTCCCATTCAGTCCCATTATCATGAACTAACAGGTGCAGTACTGGGGTAAGATTGTAATCAGTCATTCAAGGTCAGGTAAAGACACCTTAGAAACCTGCTTTACATGTATGCAAGCTTGGTAGTCCATTAATTTAGGACATATGTTCAGATTTTTCTCTTTACTTGTTAGTGCAGATTCTATTTCTTTGTATTTAAAAAAGGTTGCTTAATTTTTTGTTGTTGTTAAAGCACTGAAACCAAGCTTGTCAAATTTGGCACAGAGATAATTTCTTTCCTATCTTCCTTCTCTGTTGTGTACGGTACATTCCCCCCCACCCCCAACCCTTGAAGATGATTTTTCATACTCAACTAATCATAATCAGACAAAACCACTGGAATATGTGCTTTGCACTTATCTAAGTTCATTATAGGCTGCGTGCTAAAATACTAGGCATAGTTTCCAGGGAAGCATTTGAAGAGAAATATTCTTCCTGCATCTCAAATACATAAAAGTGTAGATAGAATGTCTTGCTGCATTTCAATGCAGACTTTAAGCAAACATATTTTAGAAGACTTCTGAAATTAGTTAGGGTACTATTAAAAAAAAGCATCCAGATTCCTTTTTGTTCATTGCGCGTTAATTTATTTATTTGGTAAAATGTAAGTAAATGTATGGCTTAATGACGTATGACTTAATGATGCATATTTGTTATTAAAATTATGAAACATTGCCATATTATTTAAAACACTGATTTTAATGTAGTCACTTAAATAATGCAAGAAAACTAGATTGGTTTATTTGCAAAGAACAATGAAATGTGGTGATTTAATAGCCATCTTACAAAGTGTAGGAATTGAAATTGAGTGAAAAAAAAATTAGTTTTATTTTGGTTTGTCATTTTAAATATTTTCCACATTTGTATATCATGAACAAATATTGTGTTGTTCTATACATGGCATCTGATACCTGACTCCTGATCTTTGAAATAGCATGGAGTTTGAGAAGAAGGAGCAGAAAACAACTCTACTATCTTCAACCATTCTCTCTATGTCATCCTTCTCAAACTCCATGCTTCAAGCTCCAAAAGTCCCTCCTATCTCCTTATCAACTCCTGCTAGACTCCCTCTTCCCATCTCCTAATCTACGGCTGTCTTCCTACTCGACTGCATTCTACCTCCTCCTAGGCTTTGGCCTTCCTCTTTTTAAATTCAATCCTCCCTCCTCCTAAAAACATCCCTCCTAATACTCCTTAACTCCATTATCCCTTCTCTTAAACTTCATTCAGCCTCAGTTATTAGATTACAGAAGGGATATAAAATAATAGCAAAATCTATCAAATATCAAAGTCATCCTTTTATATATTCTACATTTGATGCCGTATTAATGTTCAGGAGTTTATATATTAAAAGCTGAGGCATTTATTTTATATATATATATATATATATATATATATATATATGCGTCCCAGGTCCCAGCACTCAATGCTCCCGGTCTTTTTAATGCTCCGGTGCTGTCTCCAACCAAATTGTATACAATACCAGTAGAGAGCACTCAGGAGTCTTTCAAGGTAAATTTCATCTGTTGCTTTATTGAGCAATTACAAATTCACCCAACGTTCCAGTCGACGTTTCAGTCTGTAAAAGACTTTTTTCAAGATATATATATATATATATATATATAATTATTTATTTATTTATTATTATTAATTTTTTTTATTCTTTTTTTTATTTTACAAAATCTGAATTTGTTCTATGTAAACTCCTGAACATGTGACATCAGGCTTCTGATGCCTGTCTCTAGATGCCTGAAGCCTGACACAGGATGATGTGTACAATGAAGAAGTATGGACTTTTATTGGATGACTGATGGAGTTTAAGAGGAGGGATAAACATGTAAAGAGGAGAGAGAAAGGATGTTCTAAAAAGTACACTGTACAGTAGAATATATCCTGGCCTTAGATTCCAGTATAAGTGGAAGTTAGCAGTCAACAATGTAGGCTGCAATTAAAAAATGATATGTATACAATGGCATTTATATGTAGAAACATAGAATGTGACGGCAGATAAAAACCATTTGGCCCATCTAGTCTGCCCAATTTTCTAAATACTTTCATTAGTCCCTGGCTTTATCTTATAGTTAGGATATCCTTATGCCTATCCCACGCATGCATAAACTCCTTTACTGTGTTAACCTCTACCACTTGAGCTGGAAGGCTATTCCACGCATTCACTACCCTCTCAGTAAAGTAATACTTCCTGTTATTATTTTTAACCCTTGGCCCCTCTAATTTAAGACTATGTCCTCTTGTTGTGGTAGTTTTTCTTCTTTTAAATATAATCTCCTCCTTTACTGTATTGATTCCCTTTATGCATTTAAATGTTTCTTTCATATCCCCTCTGTCTTGTCTTTCCTCCAAGCTATACATGTTAAGTTCCTTTAACCTTTCCTTGTAAGTTTTATCCTGCAATCCATGAACCAGTTTAGTAGCCCTTCTCTGAACTCTCTCTTAAGTATCAATATCCTTCTGGAGATACGGTCTCCAGTATTGCGTGCAATACTCCAAGTGAGGTCTCACCAGTGTTCTGTACAATGGCATGAGCACTTCACTCTTTCTACTGCTAATACCTCTCCCTATACAACCAAGCATTCTGCTAGCATTTCCTGCTGCTCTATTATGTCCAAGATGCATTATATTGCACTTATCCACATTAAATGTCAGTTGCTACAACTCTGACCATTTTTCTAGTTTACCTAAATAATTTGCAATTTGGCTTATCCCTCCTGGAACATCAACCCTGTTACATATCTTAGTATCATCAATAGTGATGTCCCGAACGGTTCGCCGAACGGTTCGCCACGGATGGCGAACATATGCACTGTTCGGTCCGCCCCCTATTTGTCATCATTGAGTAAACTTTGACCCTGTACCTCACAGTCAGCAGACACATTCCAGCCAATCAGCAGCAGACCCTCCTGTAGGATATGAATATCCAATATGCTTAATATCCTAGCTGTTCATATAAGGGTTAATTTGAACCAAGAATAAATTTGGAATAGTAGCTTCTATTCTGGGAAGAATTTATCTAATATCATTTACGAGAATGACCATACTGATTTCGAAATGTTCTTGTTACACATTGTCCAAGATTAAGGTATTTGTAAATATCTTGTTTTGATCAAATATTCATGTGTTATATAACGTAGAATTATAATAAGAAACAGCTGTTTATAACTTGTGAAAAACAATGTCATTGTCATGCCCATATGCTCATTTTTCCCCCTCCCATCCTGCTATGAAAATGGGGTATAAATATAACTGACGTATGAATACAATTTGAATTGGTTATTGAACATGTCTCTGCTATTCATTTCCAATTTCCAGAGCTCTGTATGAGTTGGCAAATATACATCATCCACAAAGGGCCCGGGTTGATTTTATCCCCAACACCTCCCTCCCAGACCCTCCCACCTCATGGACAGCTCACTAAGAATGCAGCTTCACAATGAATGTAAAATGGATGCTGTCCAGGAGGTGGGAGGCTCTAGGAGGGAGGGTCTGCTGCTGATTGGCTGGAATGTGTCTGCTGACTGTGAGGTACAGGGTCAAAGTTTACTCAATGATGACATAGGGGGCGGTCCGAACAGCGCATATGTTCGCCGTCCGCAGCGAACCGTTCGGGACATCACTAATCATCAACAAAAATACATACCTTAGCATCAAGACCTTCTGCAATATCACTAATAAAAATATTGGTCCAAGTACAGATCCCTGAGGTACCCCACGGGTGACAAGCCCATACTTCAAATATACTCCATTGACAACAACCCTCTGTTGCCTGTCACTCAACCACTGCCTTATAGTGATGTACCGAACGGTTCGCTGGCGAACGATTCCTGGCGAACATAGCATGTTCGCGTTCGCCACGGCGGGCGAACATATGCGCGTTCGACCCGCCCCCTATTCGTCATCATTGAGTAAACTTTGACCCTGTACCTCACAGTCAGCAGACACATTCCAGCCAATTAGCAGCACAGCCTCCCTAGCAGACCCTCCCACCTACTGGACAGCATCCATTTTAGATTCATTCTCAAGCTGCATGCTTAGTAAGAGGAGGGAAAGTGTAGCTGCTGTTCATAAGATAGGGAAAAGCATAGCTAGGTTAGGGATAAGGGTATGCTTTTTTTTTATTTTATTTTTTCTATGTAATGTAAATGCACTTAGTTGTCTGCCACTGCTGCCAGCTTCTGTGTCAGGCTCACAGTGCCCATTTCCCCAGTCAGTGCCACCAATTACATCTCGTGTCACAATAGCTTGGATTTAAAAACAAAAAACTTTTTTCACTGTTATAGATTGAATAGCAGTCAGTTGTCTACCACTGCTGCCAGCTTCTGTGTCAGGCTCACAGTGCATACTGTGCCCATTTCCCCAGTCAGTGCCACCAATTACATCTGGTGTCACAATAGCTTGGATTTAAAAACAAAAAACTTTTTTTACTGTTATAGATTGAATAGCAGTCAGTGTCCTTAAAGCGGGTGTGTTACGCTAACGGTGGATACGCTGACAAGTGCCACTAATTAGATCTGGTGTCACAATAGCTTGGATTTAAAAACAAAAAACTTTTTTTACTGTTAGAGATTGAATAGCAGTCAGTGTCCTTAAAGCGGGTGTGTTACGCTAACAGTGGATACGCTGACCAGTGCCACTAATTAGATCTGGTGTCACAAAAGCTTGGATTTAAAAAAAAAAAACACTTTTTTCACTGTTATAGATTGAATAGCAGTCAGTGTCCTTAAAGAGGGTGTGTTACGCTAACAGTGGATAAGCTGACCAGTGCCACTAATTAGATCTGGTGTCACAATAGCTTGGATTTAAAAAAAAAATAATCTTTTTTCACTGTTATAGATTGAATAGCAGTCAGTGTCCTTAAAGCGGGTGTGTTACGCTAACAGTGGATACGTGACCAGTGCCACCACTTAGATCTGGTGTCACAATAGCTTGGATTTAAAAAAAAACACTTTTTTCACTGTTATAGATTGAATAGCAGTTAGTTATCTTCAAGCAGGTGTGTTACGCTAACAGTGGATACGGTGACCAGTGCCACCAATTAGATCTGGTGTCACAATAGCTTGGATTTAAAAACAAAACACTTTTTTTCACTGTTATAGATTGAATAGCAGTCAGTGTCCTTAAAGCGGGTGTGTTACGCTAACAGTGGATACGCTGACCAGTGCCACCAATTAGATCTGGTGTCACAATAGCTTGGATTTTTAAAAAAAACCACTTTTTTCACTGTTATAGATTGAATAGCAGTTAGTGTCCTTAAAGCGGGTGTGTTAAGCTATCAGTGGATACGGTGACCATTGCCACCACTTAGATCTGGTGACACAAAGCTTGGATTTAAAAACAAAAAACACTTTTTTCACTGTTATAGATTGAATGGCAGTCAGTGTCCTTAAAGCGGGTGTGTTACGCTAACAGTGGATACGGTGACCAGTGCCACCACTTAGATCTGGTGTCACAATGGCTTGGATTTAAAAACAAAACACTTTTTTCACTGTTATAGATTGAATAGCAGTCAGTGTCCTTAAAGCGGGTGTGTTACGCTAACAGTGGATACGCTGACAAGTGCCACTAATTAGATCGTGTGTCACAATGGCTTGGATTTAAAAACAAAAAACTTTTTTTACTGTTATAGATTGAATAGCAGTCAGTGTCCTTAAAGCGGGTGTGTTACGCTAACAGTGGATACGGTGACCAGTGCCACCAATTAGATCTGGTGACACAAAGCTTGGATTTAAAAAAACAAAACACTTTTTCACTGTTATAGATTGAATAGCAGTCAGTGTCCTTAAAGCGGGTGTGTTACGCTAACAGTGGATACGGTGACCAGTGCCACCAATTAGATCTGGTGACACAAAGCTTGGATTTAAAAAAAAAAAACACTTTTTTCACTGTTATAGATTGAATAGCAGTTAGTTATCTTCAAGCGGGTGTCAGGCCTACAGCCTGTGCTCTGCACAACTGTGCCAGTGCACATTGCCACTCATATCTGGTCTCACAGTAGCTTGCACGCATAGTACCACTAATCCCAACAAAAATGACAGGCAGAGGCAGGCCACCCCGCAGGGGCCATCGTGGTCGTGGTGCTGTGATTCCCTTTGGCCCTAGAATAATGCCCAGTTTTCAGAGGCCACGTACCCTGAACTTGAAAAGTTCTGAGGACATAGTTGACTGGCTAACACAGGACACCCAATCTTCTACAGCCTCCGCTCAGAACCTTGACGCACCATCCTCCTCCAGCTTAGCTTCAGGCACCTCTCAAGATACCACTCACCCGCCTGCCGCCACCACCAAAACTAGCACCACAGCCGCTTCGGTTGGTATGTCAGGAGTTATTCACACATCCGTTTGAAGAAATGAGTGATGCGCAACCATTATTGCCAGAGGATGTAGATAACAGGGATATGTCTCAGGCAGGCAGCATTACACACATGGACGTACGGTGTGATGATGATGATGATGTTGTACCCGCTGCTGCTTCCTTTGCTGAGTTGTCAGATACAAGTGAAGCGGTTGATGATGACGATGCGTCCATGGATGTCACGTGGGTGCCCGCTCGTCAAGAAGAAGAACAGGGCGAAAGTTCAGATGGGGAGACAGGGAGGAGGAGGAGACGAGTTGGAAGCAGGGGGAGGTCGTCGCAAGGAGCTAGTGGCACAGTCAGACAGCATGCATCGACACCCGGGGTCAGCCCGACAGCACGCCAATCAACGCATGCTGTGTCCACCACCAGAATGCCGTCATTGCAGAGCTCAGCAGTGTGGAATTTTTTTTGTGTGTCTGCCTCTGACAACAGCGATGCCATTTGCAACCTGTGCCAAAAGAAACTGAGTCGTGGGAAGTCCAACACCCACCTAGGTACAACTGCTTTGCGTAGGCACATGATCTCACATCACAAACGCCTATGGGATCAACACATGAGTACAAGCAGCTCGCCTACTCTAAGCCGCCAGCCTCCTCCTGGTCCAGCATCTTCAGCCACGTCAACCACTGCTGTCCTCCTTGTCCCCTCTCAACCATCCGCCACTCCGCCTCCCGCCTTGAGCAGTTCACGCTCATCTTCCCACAGTCATGTGTCTGTCAAGGACATGTTTGAGCGTAAGAAGACAATGTCAGAAAGTCACCCCCTTGCCCAGCGTCTGACTGCTGGCTTGTCCGAACTATTAGCCCGCCAGCTTTTACCATACAAGCTGGTGGAGTCTGAGGCGTTCAAAAAATTTGTAGCTATTGGGACACCGCGGTGGAAGGTACCCGGCCGAAATTACTTTTCGCAAAAGGCAATCCCCAACCTGTACTCAATTGTGCAAAAGGAAGTAATAGCATCTCTGGCACACAGTGTTGGGGCAAGGGTCCATTTGACCACTGATACCTGGTCTGCAAAGAATGGTCAGGGCAGGTATATCACCTACACTGCGCATTGGGTAAACCTGCTGACGGCTGCCAAGCATGGAATGCATGGCTCTGCAGAGGAGTTGGTGACACCGCCGCGACTTGCAGGCAGTCCTGCTGCCACCTCCTCTACTCCTCCTACTCCATCCTCTTCCATAACCTCCTCGGCTGAGTCCTCTTCTGCTGCTGCGTCTTGCTCCCCATCAACGGCACCCCCCCAGCTCCCCAGGTACTATTCCACATCCCGGATACGGCAGTGTCACGCCGTCTTGGGTTTGACTTGCTTGAAAGCAGAGAGTCACACCGGACAAGCACTCCTGTCCGCCATGAACGCACAGGTGGAAAAGTGGCTGACTCCGCAGCGACTGGATATCAGCAAAGTGGTTTGTGACAACGGAACAAATTTGTTAGCGGCATTGAAGTTGGGCAAGTTGTCACATGTGCGTGCATGGCACATGTGTGTAATCTGATCGTACAACGCTTTGTGCATAAGTACATAGGCTTACAGGACATCCTGAAGCAGGCCAGGAAGGTGTGTGGCCATTTCAGGCATTCCTACACGGCCATGGCTCACTTTGCCGATATCCAGCGGCGAAACAACATGCCAGTGAGGCGCTTGATTTGCGACAGCCCGACACGTTGGAATTCCACACTCCTAATGTTCGACCGCCTGCTCCAACAAGAAAAAGCCGTTAATGAATATTTGTATGACGGGGGTGCTAGGACAGCCTCTGGGGAGCTGGGAATTTTTTTGCCACGTTACTGGACGCTCATGCGCAATGCCTGTAGGCTCATGCGTCCTTTTGAGGAGGTGACAAATTTAGTCAGTCGCACCGAAGGCACCATCAGCGACATCATACCATTTGTTTCTTCCTGGAGCGTGCCCTGCGAAGAGTGCTGGATCAGGCCGTAGATGAGCGTGAAGAGGAAGAGGAAGAGTTGTGGTCACCATCACCTCCAGAAACAGCCTTAACAGCATCGCTTGCTGGACCTGCGGCAACGCTGGAAGAGGATTGTGAGGAAGGAGAGTCAGAGGGAGATGTGGCTGAGGGAGGAGGAAGAGGAGGGAAGGGAGGGCAAGAGACCAGCCACAACAGGAAAATCCCAGGGTGCTCATTGTCCTATCCTGGTACCATTAATTATTTATGCGCATTGGCTGGGGAAGAAAATACCTTCATTGACATCAGTGAGGAGGAGAGCGGGAAATGGTAGCTTCGGCATCCAACCTTGTGCAAATGGGGTCTTTCATGCTATACTGGTGCCTGTTGGGGACCCTGGTATACAAAAAGGCTGAAGGAGAGCGGCCTGTACTGGGTGTCCACTACTAGACCCGGTATAAGCAGAAAATTAATGAAATATTGCAGTACAACAAGTATGAAAGGATGCAGCATTTGCAAAATAAATTGAAAAGTATGCTTTACACAGCGTATAAGGGTGATGTCACAGCACAACGGGAATCTAACAGGGGGAGAGGTGGAAGTCCTCCTCCTCCTCCCATGACCACGCCGGCAAGGACAGGACGCTTTAGAGGCGTGTTGTTGATGGAGGACATGCGGACCTTTTTAAGTCCTACGCATCGCCACAGCCCTTCGGGATCCACCCTCAGAGAGCGACTCGACCGACAGGTAGCAGACTACCTCGCCTTAACTGCAGATATCGACACTCTGAGGAGCGATGAACCCCTTGACTGGGTGTGCAGGCTTGACCTGTGGCCTGAGCTATCCCAATTTGCGATAGAACTTCTGGCCTGCCCCGCTTCAAGTGTCCTGTCAGAAAGGACCTTCAGTGCAGCAGGAGGTATTGTCACTGAGAAGAGAAGTCACCTAGGTCAAAAAAGTCTAGATTACCTCACCTTTGTTAAGATGAATGAGGGATGGATCCCGAAGGGACTGACACTGGGCGATACATTAGATTAAAAAAGGCCTGATGAGATGAGCTGCCTTGGGCTAAAAATGGTCCACACGCTGCTGTATTTTAGCTCTGAATACCTGTTGACTTGCGTGACTGATCCGCCACCAACTTGGGTTCAAGCCGCCATCTTTTAGGGCACTTTCTGCCTGTGAAACAAACATCAGTTATAGATTGAATAGCAGTTAGTTATCTTCAAGCAGGTGTGTCAGCCCTACAGCGTGTGCTCTGCCAGTACGCTGCCACCTCCTCTACTCCTCCTACTCCATCCTCTTCCATAACCTCCTCGGCTTAGTCCTCTTCTGCTGCTGCGTCTTGCTCCACATCAACGGATAGGGGGCGTAACAGTGATTAAACTGATAACAATAGTACTAAACACACCACTTACTCACTGGTGTCACAATAGCTTGGATTTAAAAACAAAAAAATTTTTTCACTGTTATAGATTGAATAGCAGTTAGTTATCTTCAAGCAGGTGTGTCAGCCCTACAGCGTGTACTCTGCCAATACGCTGCCACCTCCTCTACTCCTTCTACTCCATCCTCTTCCATAACCTCCTCGGCTTAGTCCTCTTCTGCTGCTGCGTCTTGCTCCACATCAACGGATAGAGGGCGTAACAGTGATTAAACTGATAACAATAGTACTAAACACACCACTCCTATCTGGTG